AGTGGTTTTCTGGGGGGGGGGGTTTGTATGAAAAACATTTTTAACGAAATATGGAGAAACATTATTAACATCCTTTGCTTGGTTGAGGCAGTTTAGTTGTCTTACAGTGCTGTATACTAATGGCTAAATTTTATGTAAAATCTGTTTGCACCTGTTCTGGAAGGGGGGCGTGAAATTTATGAAATGTTTCAAGGTATAAAAGTTTGGAAACCTCTGGTCTATTGTAATGTCTCCTCAGTGCCACTGTAATTTTATTTTCGTCTAAATCTGTATTTAATACTGTACTATAAATCCGACAACACAAGAATATAAAACGTTTTATCTTTTAATGAATGTTTTCATTTGCTCTTATCATGTACACTTTCTGAGAAGAAGTAAGCACGTGTGTGAAATTCAATTGAATTCCTGTTTCTTCAAGAAGTATCCATTTTGGTGTAGTACCGACCATGTTCTACAAATTCATTTGAGTACCCATATGTCCCCTCAGGAAGACAATGATGTAGCTATATCCTGACTCGCAGATAACGAATTATGTTTGATAATGGAACCTTGATAAATGCATTAAGCGTTGTTTGATTAACTTAGTCTCAAGTTATCAGATAAATTCATATTGGTTTTGAGGACCTTGGGCACGTAACGTATATAAATAAACACACACTGTCTTATGTTCTGAACTTTGATATGAACACTGTTGAGAAAAGAATGACTAAATAGTTGTAGACGGTACTAACAAGGTGATAAAATAAATTTGGTTTATTATCTGTGATGATAATGGAAAGCGCACTTGTCTCATTCAGTAAGAGATAAACGAAGTACGTGCTTCGACGCTGCTCAGCATCGTGTTTAAAAAGCATAAGAAGGAAAATACGAGTGGAGATTCCACTTCCTTCCCTGATTTTTGGATAAACTCTCTTCCCCCTCTGCTAAGTATCACTCACACGCTTCTGTTGGCCCACACTTCCGGGACAAACACTGCTGACGAAATCTGATGAGACCACGTGACTGATACGGAAGACGGTGTATCAAACGCGGAAAGTTGTTTGTTCAGGGAGATATACGAAATTGTGTAATGTTGAGCATAACGATTGCAAAACTCAGAGTTAAAACATAAAGACTTAACAGAGTACAGTGTGAGTGGAAAGTGGCGACTCGGTTTGCCCTAGCAATCAGGCCCGTTAAACAAAGCTAGTGCCACGGTGGTCTAGCGGTTAGAAGGCTGGCCTTGTAATCCTGGGGTCTCGGGTTCGATTCCCGGCCGTGGCCGAATTTATAACTTGTGTTTGGCAAGGCCGTGGTCTAGGCAACACGGAGTTTTTCTCCGTGGCATCCCAACAATTACTCCATTCACACACAGAAGAAGGCAATGGCAAACCACTTCTGGATCATCTGCCAAGAACGTATATGAACAGGTCCCAGTCCGAGAAAAGGATGGGAGGATCCTGTTCATATGGACCTGTCGCCAGACAGAACACTAAATAAAATACTCGACTATGCTCTCACCAGCCCAGAGTGTACAGCACTGAGACTTCGTAATAACAAATGTGCAATAGCGTCCTTTAACGTACAGTTTTATGTTCAATTAAATTTGATTTCAGGTCTCGTATAAGTGATCGTCTGTTGCCATGGTTACGTAACCAGCGAGTCACAACACTGAGCTGCAGGAACGAGTGTTGCATCCAGGCAGGAAAAACGATTTAGAACCTCATTAAAACGAGTGACTTCCAGCGTGCATACATTCAAGGCGCAAATAAAATGCAAAGAAGAAGGAGAATAAAGCAAGGCTGACTTAACTGCCACGTCGAACAATACGACTTGAAATACGCACATGCATACGAATTGATCATAATGAAATGAGTATCCATGGCAACAGGAGAAGGGACGCGTTTTTTTTACACTTTGAAGTGGTTTCAATTGTAGCCACGAACGGACGAGAAACAAAGAAATCCTGCCTTTCTCATTTCACAAGACAGCTGTCATATTGCTCCTTGTTCCGTGGTGCGCGCGGTCCGATCTTCAACTCTCTTATTCTTTCCAACATGGCGTCACGCGTGATGAAACTTTTGTGCTTCGCGTTTCAATGCGCGATAAAACCCACTCCGGAAACCAAGAACCGAATGACAAGGGGGGAAAAGGATGAATATCATTTAACGATATAAATTCTCGACTAAATGCACGGAACATGGAGTCTACAGTGACGTTACACACATACAAAATTTAGTAAAAATCTGTCGACTGGTTCAAAATTATTCAAGTGCATTTATTTATTTAGTGTTCTGTCTGACGATAGGTCCATATGAACAGGATCCTTCCATCCTTTTCTCGGACTGGGACCTGTTCATATACGTTCTTGGCAGATGATCCAGAAGTGGTTTGCCATTGCCTTCTTCTGGGTGTGAATGGAGTAATTGTTGGGATGCCAATGAGGAAAACTCCGTGTTGCCTAGGCCACGGCCTTGCCCAACACAAGTTATAAATGCGAACCCGAGACCCCAGGATTACAAGGCCAGCGT